GATCGCCTTCGGGACATGTTTGCCAATATCTGGAAATCATGAAATCAATCTTTGTGGCTCGAAGGGGATGTTTTTGTTATGCTGCTTAAGTCCTAAGATCCTCTGAACTAGTAAAAGAAGAGGGAACAAGTAAAGCAGAACAAGCGGTCGGACTCTGGAAGCATGGGGCTCTCTAAGTACACTGATGAGGGGCTCTCACATACATAATACAAGCGGAGGCTGGTGAGGTTTCATTTAGTATATAAGGTTTTTTATAGTTCAAACATGTATTATAACTAGTCGTTCTATGGACAGATTGTAGAGATTGGATGAGAGCCCTCCGCTACCGATGCACATGAGCGCACTCACAGGAGGCGGTCCGACCAGTCCTGGATCGATTATAGATTCCATGCGACGAAGGTAATTGATGAGTTAAACTAGTTTGATGTTAATACATTTTAGCTCTAACAAAATGTAACTACTTTTGTTTGCAAGAGATATCCCAACAGCTGAAGGAGAGCAGATCCCAGTCGTCAGCAGGTATTACAATCCACAAGTGTGACTCTTCCAAGTACGACCTGTGGAGGGAGGCTGCTGGAGGAAAGAAGAAGGGTCGAGCCTAAGAGCTCGGGGCACAGAGGACACCTACATTCACCCCTCCATTAGTGCATCTGCGGCTTCTACCTCTAACACAGAATGAGGATATCAACAAATGTATTGTGGCATTCTTTACAGAGATGGAGGTTCACTTTTCTTAGATAAAGTCAGAGCTAGAGGCAAACATGGTTGTGTGTGTGTGCGTGGTTGGGCAAGAGCACATAAATGTGTCGACATGAATCTCGAGAAAAACCAACAGAATAAGAAACAGGAAAGTACAACAATGATGACCTACAGACCAAAAACCAAGATACATAAAGCAGAGAGAAGGTCTTAGCCCAAATCTCTCCACAACATTGTCACTAGCCTCATAAGAGATTCCAAGATATTCATCAGAAGGTCAAGGGTTTTACCATGATATACTCCACGAAGACCCCGAAGGATTTTTTTGCCAAAGGGTTGAGCTACCTGTTGGATTACAGTGATTCATTCTCTGCATGGCAGTCCATCCTGACGATAAAAAACATCTCATCTAGGGGTCGCTAGTCGACAACCGAATCAAACCAACCGACCGGTAGACTCAATCCCACCGAGCCAACTCCGAATGATCAAAGATCAACAAGAGTCGACCATTAGCCCTAACTCGGCATTTCAGACGAGCCCTGTTGAACCAAGGTCAGTTGATCCCAGCCGACCCAGTAATAAGGTAGCCGAATCATGAACTCTTTTATGTAAATATGTAAAATGCCATGTAACACCACAATTAAAGTAGAAGCATGTAATTTTTCACTTTTGTATCATCTCTCCTATAAAAAGGATGTTCATTTCTTCACTAAGAGTTAATAAAAAGCCTATTCTACTATTCATTTATGTGCGCAGACACACACGTTCTTTCTCTTTCTCTTTTTCATTATCTCTCTTTCCTATTTTATGCTCTATTCCTTAAGTGTAAGATTCAGATTCAACAATACACACACACAAATTTATATTTGTGTTGTAGAATATATATTATTTCATAAATAAAAGAGAAACACACCATGTTATTGGGATATTAGAAATGCCGAAAATCTAAAGAAGTACATAATTAGGTATTAATTCGGTATAAGATTTGTATGCTTGGTAAGAGCTGTTGATTAATGATCAATGCAGGCTGTGTACATTGCAAACCTACCACCGAATGGCTGAAAAGTACAATTTTCTTTTTTAAATCATGTGCGTTCACATTCAGAAGTGAAACCGCTCGAGCTTTAGAATCATAAATCAAAAAAAATTTCTAAAAAAAATGTTTTTGCACTTTCAAGTAATTAAGAAATACTACTTGTTGAAAGTATAAAAAAAAAATGCAAAATTATCTTAATTATGTAATTTTATATTGACTCTTTAGTCTAATATAATTAATTTGTTTATAAATTTGAATAATTTGTTAATCTAAAAGTCTTCTGATGAATAATTATTAGTGTCATACTTTTGGTTATTATGATTAGCATTTTTTAGCTTTTCTTTATTAATTGATTTTTCTATGAATTTACATATTGATTTAATACCTATTAGCATTTATTTATGTTATATAGTTAATAAAAAGATTTTATGTTTTATTATTTTCTTGGGGTAGGTGTACAGTGCAATGTGGCATATTATAAATTTTATTTTGATTTCAATCAATATAGTATATATTTAAGCACTTCAGTTATTATCTAATTTAGGATGTGTTTGGGGCAATTGTTGTTTTTCCAAGAAACAACTGTGAAGCTGTTTTTTTGGAGAAACAACTTCTCAGGTGCTGTAAAAAAAGTGTTATTGGAAAAACAAAATTATGTTTAGATAATTTGTTGTGTTGCATTTGTTTTAAATACAAAAAACTGTTGCCTTCACATATATAATTTTTTTGAATAACTACAATTTTCAAAATAATTATAGCAAATAACATACACAGGTCCAAGCATCTAGTAATACAAAAAATGCTCGAGGAGTCCATAGTTCTCCAATACATAAAATGTTATTAGTCATTACATGCATATATTCACAATAATAAGAACCACTAAAGTAACAAACAAGGATATAATGGTGTTCGTCTTTATGTCCTGACGATCAAGTTTTCAACATTATTTTTTTCTTCATAGCAACATCTCTGCTCACTTGATCATTGTCTGGAGTGATCTCATAAATAACATCAACCAAACAAAAACACCTATAATCTTGAGGTGTCATGTTATCAGGACAACAATAAAATCTTCTGTTATAGCTATCTTATCTTCTTGATTGGTACTTAAAATACTGTATTAAAGTGGCAATAGGAGCTCTCAAGATAACTGATGATCCTATACTCATTTTTCCTATGATTGTAATACATTGCGACTTTAATTAATAAAATAGACTCAATATTCAATAGAATAATAAAATAATTTTTTATTTTATAATAAAAAAATATATACATAAAGTACACATAAAAAAAATCCTCAATATAAAATGCTACGTAAATATAAAAATTAGACATTTAAAAATCCACAATACTCCTAAAATAGGAAATATCTAAAAGAAGGCATTACAAAATGCTGCATATATATAGTTGATGAGTTCACGAAAATATTTGTAATTTCTTCTCCTATCTGAATCATTTCATGAACACTTCTCCTACGAATATTCATTCTTACTAAAGTCTTCATCGAGCAATGAATGTCCAACCCGATGTTCAAATTCTTTCTCAAGCATACATATTGGATCTTCATTTAAAACCCAGAAATCAATATCGTCCTGAGATGTATGTCTTCATATAAAATTATATAGTGTTTTTGTTGAAACAACTATTTTGGCATTTTTTTTTAAGGAAATACGTCAACATATTTCAGAGTGTAGGCTTCTTCTTCCATACATTGAATGTTCTCTCGATAACTTTCAGTAATAACAAGCATCTTTTATTAAAAAAATTCATTCCTCTGCTTAATCACTTGGCTATTTCGTTCAAAATCAGGAAGGTGATATCTCGTGTTGAGGAATGACTTTAAGAAATATCGTTATAATGGATATCCCTAATCGACGAGGTAATATTTTTCTAACAATACCATTATTACTATAGATTCTCAAATCAAATGCTTCATGCACAGTCATGAAAGTATTAACCTAGTGACCGCATTAGAAATTTGTATTCGCGTCGACATGTTGCAAATTTAAGTATTCTGCTATAAGGAGCACTCTTTTCTCATCCAACCATCATGTACTTAAAACACATATTGAAATCAAGAGCTATTAAGTATTATATGTCGCAGCTTCACACCGTCTAATATATACAATCTTCTCATGATTACTAATATATGCATCAATGTGTGTGCCGTCAATTGCTCTGATACAATCTTATTTTAAAAATTCGTTAGATCATTATTTTTTTTATTTAAAAATGTTAATGCTAAAATAAGTTGAATATTGATACTTTGAAGAATGACATGTATCTAGTATCTCTAAGAATTTCTCTTGGTATTTATCCAAAAGTAGGATATATGGGTTGCATAATGTTGGTTGACAATTTTACGAAAGAGTTAACCCATATATCGAAATGCTTCCTAATCGTCCCTGTGGGGTGCTTGAATTGCTCAGAATCACCAACAATAGAGAGCAAAACTGAAAATCTATCGGCATCACCTCAAACACCAAACCACCAACAAATAATTTGAGAAGCACAAAGGGAAAAGAAAATAAAACCCAAATCATCAAATTACTATCAAAGAGAACAAAAGAGAAGAAGAAGAATTCTACATATAGAGAGGGGAGGCGAGGCGATTATATTGAGAATGAATGGAGGGAAGGAGCTTGGGATTTTACCCTAAAGCCGCAACGTGAAAGAATAGAGAGAGAAGACGAAGAGGGGTATTTGTGAGGATATAGCGAAGGATTAGGGAAGTGTAGAGGGATAACGATGTAATTTTGAACTCAAAACTGGGCTAAAATTGTAGAAGGCAGCCTCCCCCACCTGTTTTGGCTTTCGCCATTTCAAATTTGTTTAGCATAAAAGCACCCAAAAAACAGTTTCCCAAATGCACCATTATGCATTTTGGGACCTATAATCAGCTGATACAACACCCCCAAACAAGCCCTCAATCAGTCCCAAGTATTTAATTATCAAATTTAATTTATTAGTAGTTCATTTAAATAATTCTTTTTATTTATTTAGATAAATTCAGTATGAATAATTATTTAAAGTTTAATGAAATTGAAATCAATCCACAAATATAGTGTCGAATTTGCTTTTTTATTGGAGAAAATTTTACATACTATGAAAATACATATGAATGGACATGACCACATTAGAAGGCCGACTCCTCCAAAAAATAAAAAATAAAAAATAAAAAATAAAAAAATAGAAAAATAGAAAACAAGAAACAAATAAACTATCTATAAATAACTTCCAACACGGGAGCTCGAAAGAGGCAAACTTGAACAGGAATCCTAGCTAAAGAAATTAATTTGCCACTGCCTCAATCAACACATGGCGCTTGAGTCAATCTCTCGCTCTTCTGATTCCAGCAAGCCATGGCTAAACCTCGAAGGCAAAGTTGTTCTTATCACCGGCGCTTCCGCCGGCATTGGCCGTGAGCTTTGCCTTGATCTCGCGAAGGCCGGCTGCCTCGTTGTTGCCGCCGCACGAAGAGTCGATCGCCTCAAATCTCTCTGCGATGAAATCAACGGATGGGGGTCATCGGCCTCGGCTTCCCCTTCGTGGATCAGAGCGGTGGCCGTCCAGCTGGATGTGAACGGAAAGGGGATGGAGATTGAGGTAGAAGTAAGGAAGGCGTGGGAGGCGTTCGGAAGGATTGATGTGCTGCTGAATAACGCTGGGATTAGAGGTATGTTGAATGATTTCTTAGGTCATGTTGGGATTAGAGGTGTGTTTGAATGGTCTTTTAGGTCATGAATGATTGTGTATTGGTTTAGGGTTTATGAAGGCAGAAATTTGTTCGTCTATGGGAGGCAGCATTGGTGAGTGGAGGAATTTAAATAGGAGATGGGAAGTTGATTATGTGGTTTGGAGTTGAGGTGGGAAAGTCGAGATTTGGGAGGAGAGGAAGAAGAAAATTTGGGGGGAATTAGATACTTAACTGTCACAATTTATATATTTATAAAACTAACAACTTTTACCAGTAAAAATCCCCTTAATTAAATGAAGGGTAATATGAATAATACAAAAAGTCTTTTTATGTGAATTCATTTCTCTCTCTTTATTTTAATAAAAATACTCATTATGGAGAAAATTTGACTTTTTGATAGTTCTTATTTTCAGCTACCAATGGTTTTTTTTAAAAAAAAAATTTTATTCTTCTCTAAATTCTAACACCCAATCAGGAAGATCCTTTGATTCTATTATGTGTTTTCTGGAAAGTATGTGTTCTTACTTTTTTTCTAGTTACGAAGGTGGATTATATTCTCCTTTTATGCAACGTCTTTTTTTTTATTTTTTATTTTTTAGTTTTGTTCACTGTTAGGTAGTGGCAATTGTTGTGTTGTATATGTGAAATTTAAATCGATCGACGATGAAGCAAAAAAATAGCACGAGAAATTCACATCAGAAAATAACACAGATTTACATGGTTCGGCAAATTGCCTACATCCACGGAATTGCAGAGAATTTTACTAAGTGAGGAAATTACACCGTAGTCGATAGTCTCGACACTTACAAGAGACAACTTTATCTCTTCCTCTCTCTCTCTCTACCGAAGAGTAGCCCAAGAGGAAGAAGAAGAACCAAGTTTGATCTTCTGGCCTCACCGAAAACTGCAAACAGAACAAACACCAAAGTCTTCCACCTCTTAAGAAAAGCTTTCCCGTAAGCCTTAAACACACCGAAAAACCAAGGGAGCCAAATGTCGTGCGTATTTTCTTATTCCTTCTGTCTCAAAGCAAGCGATGCTTCGCGAAACAGAGAGGAAGCAGGAGATATGGCACCGATTCGCGAAATAAAGGGGAGGCGGGAGCGGTTTCTGGCGAAGGGACACGAAACTTCACGCGCGAAAAAGAGGAGGCGCGACTATTCGCGTGCGCGGGAGACGGGAGGCGGAGAGCGGGAGCAGGCGCGTGGGTCGTCGGGAGAGAGGGAGGCAGGCGTGAAAGGTTTCCAGCGCTAACAATCTCCCACTTGGAGACCGAACACATGCTACAACATCTCCTTCCTCAAACTGATATCCTCCACTGACGGCGTCGCCCCTTTCTTCAACATGAATCCTTCACTTTGAATCCTCTACTTTGAATCCTTCACCTCTGCAACTCAAAACCCATGTCTTCAAGTTAGAAGACCAACTGAAGCTGCGCACAACTTCAATTTCTCCAGAGTAACACCCTTTGTCAACATATCAGCAGGGTTCTGACTTCCACAAATTTTCTCAAGCATCAACTGTCCGTCATCCAACAATGATCGTATGAAGTGATATCTGATCTGAATATGCTTTGTCCTGGACTGAAATGTTGGATTCCTGGCAAGGAATATAGCGCTCTGACTGTCACTGCAGAGTACGCCCATCTGATCCTTCTTGCCTAATTCTTTCAAGAAGCCCTGTAGTCATATCATCTCCTTTGCAGCCTCTGATATTGCTATGTACTCAGCTTCTATAGTAGACAATGAAACTGTCTTCTGCAGATTAGAGCCCCATGACACTGTAGTGCAACTGCAGTGCTACCAATAGTGTAAATATAGCCTGTAGTACTTCTTCTAGTATCAATGTCTCCAGCTAGATCAGCATCAACATAGCCCCGTACCTCTGAACTCTTTCCTGAGAAACACAAGCAAGTTTCTGCAGAGCCTCTTAGGTACCTCAAGATCCACTTCACTGCTTCCCAATGTTCCTTTCCAGGATTACTCATGTATCTGCTAACGACTTCCACTGCATGGGCAATATCAGGTATGGTGCAAACCATAGCATACATAAGTGAACCAATAGCTGAAGCATAAGGAACCTTACTCATGTAATATCGTTCCTCCTCTGACTTGGGTGACTGATTCTTGTTGAGTTTCCAGTGACTTCCCAAGGGTGTGTCAATTGGTTTAGCCTTATCCATATAAAACCTGTTAAGTACCCTTTTTACATACTCAGCCTGAGAGTCTCAACATGTCTTTGACTCTATCTCTGACAATTCTCATACCAATGATTTGTTTTGCAGCTCTCAAATTCTTCATTGCAAAGTGGCAAAGTGCTCTGACATCTGCTTCTGCTCCTTCAGATTATTGATCTCCTCAATACTAGCACCTGCAATAAGCATATCATCCACATACAGCAGTAGGATGATATAAAAATTGTCGAAATAACTGACATAGCAACAGTGATCTGCCTGACATCTGTTGTACCATGCACTGTGCATGAAATTATCAAATTTCTTGTTCCACTGTCTAGGAGTTTGCTTCAGGCCATACAAGCTCTTCTTCAATCTACAAACTGACTCTTCCTTTCCTTGTACCACGAACCCTTCAGGTTGGTGCATGTAAATGTCTTCTTCAAGATCCCCATGAAGAAAAGCTGTCTTCACATCTAGCTGCTCAAGGAAGAGATCTTCAGTAGCCACTATAGACAATACCATTCTAATGGTTGTAAGCTTCACCACAGGAGAGAAAATCTCGGAATAATCAATACTGTGCTTCTGTTGAAAACCTTTTACAACAAGTCTAGTCTTGTACCTCTTACTGCCATTATGCTCAGTTTTCACCCGGTACGCCCACTTGTTATGTAATGCCTTCTTCCCAATTGGAAGATCTGCTAACTCCCAAGTCTGATTTTCAAGCAGAGAATTCATCTCCTTATTCATGGCTAGCTCCCACTTGATCGAATTTTCATCTTGCAAGATTTCTTCATAACTCTGAGGTTCTCCACCATCTGTCAGCAAAATGTAGTTCAAAGTCGGAGAATAACGTTGTGGAGAACGTCTGACCCTTTCTGACCTGCGAACTGCAACTGTAGGGGTAGACTGCTCTGAAACTGACTGTGGAACAATAGGAGTGGATGCCCTGGATTCACTCTCCTCGTCACCTGCATCTCTGTCATGCACTGTGACCTCTGGTAAATCATCAAACTTTACCAACTCAGATTCCTTCAGTGTTGTTTCAGAAACTGTACTGGACTTGTCCTTGTACATAACATTCTCATTGAAAACCACGTTCCTGCTCCTTATGATCTTCCGACTCTGATCATCCCAGAAACGATATCCAAATGCCTCATCTCCATAGCCAATGAAATAACACTTCCTTGACTTAGCCTCAAGCTTATTTCGAGCATCAGGATTAATGAGAATATAAGAACAACAACCAAAAATTTTAAGGTGAGAAAATTTTACCTCTTTCCCACTCCAGACTTCTTCAGGTAATTCACAGTTTAATGGAACAGATGACCCCCTATTGATCAAATAAACTGCAGTATTAACCGCTTCTGCCCAGAAAGTAGGTGGTAGTCCGGCGTGCAATCTCATGTTTCTAGCTCGCTCATTAATGGTCTTGTTCATGCGCTCTGCAACAACATTTTGCTGTGGTGTTCCTGAAGTGTTCTCCATTCTGATTCCCTGAGCTGCACAGTACTCATTGAACCCACCATCAATGTACTCACCACCATTATCAGACCTCAGACATTTTTCTGCTACCTTTCAAGAAACTGGTCTTCCTCTGCTTCCCCATAATGCAACTCTCGCACATGCTGAAATCAACTGACTTCAGTTCTGGTAGCTTGCCTCTGGACTGAAGTTCCTTCAT